AGTTATACAGATTATATTAATATAATAAATGAAATGGAGAATATAGAACGGGTTGTCATAACTGATAAGAGATGTAAAAAAATATGTTATTTTATTTTAGAATTAATTAAGTTTTTGATACAATATATTAAAAATATAAATATTAATATAAATGCCAAAAAAGAAAACCAAAAAGAATAAGATAGGTTTAAGTGTTTCTTCAACAGATGAAGAAATTGTTAAAGAAACATCAGTATTTGAGATTGCTTGTCCTATGTGCAAAAGAATGTTAGAACTTAAGAATGAATTAGAAATAAAAAATAATAAAAAATGTAAATGTTCATGTATTCCAACAAGTTTCAAAATAAGTAAAAATGATAAGAAAATGAGTATTGATAAAACTAAAGACAGTATCAACTTAGAAACTGATGTCCATAGTATAACTTTTAAATGGGGTAAGGATGCATCACTCTCGGGAAATGGTGATAAGGAAACTCAGGAAACTATTAAACAAATCATGAAAAATTAGTATTTAAAGAGTAGATTTAACATAATTGCACTTTATAAATATAAATAAATAAATATTTAAATAAATATCTAATTATTTATATAATCATAATGCCAACTGTGAATGGACAAGACCATAGAATTATAACTTTTGATGATGAAGAAATTAATGATATATTCGATGGTGATAAAAACTTTGCTAGACAATTGAGTATAGAATATTTTTATTGGTTAGATGCTAAATTTAATAATAAATATTTTATGAAAGGTATAACTAAACCAGATAAATTTGATAAAATGTTGAAGTATTTTGAAATTACAGGTAACGATGAAGGTTTAATAAAATTGAAAAATAAAATTGATGAAAGACTCTTAGAATATAATTTATTTACATATATAACATTAAATTATTAAGGTAAATTATATAATAAAACGTATAATTAAATAAATAATTATCTAAATAAATATATAGTAATGTCTGAAAATGAGAATTATACTATTAATGATTTAATGAAGAAGATAACATTAATTGGTAAAAATATCAAAACCTTAAATGATATGATTAAATCGATTGATGACAAAATGAAACCAGTTGAACGCAATGAAGATAAAGAAAAAATCGAAAAACTATTTCAAGCAAAATCAATAGGAAGACCAACAGGTGATTATCCTACAAAGCAAAAGAAATACTGTGATATGTTGAATACAGGAAAAATCAAGCAACCAAAGCAACAAACATTAGACTATTATAAAATTTCAAAAAATGATGATGGAGTATATGTATTATTTGAATAAATAATATCTAAATAATTCTAATAAATGAATTTATTAGAGTTATTTTCAGGTAGTGGTTCAGTCGGAACCATAGCAAAGTCGCTTGGATTTAATGTAATATCATTAGACTTGAAAAATGCTGATATCAACACTGATATTTTGGAATGGGATTACAAACAGTTTGACAGAAACCATTTTGATTTTATTTGGAGTAGTCCCCCATGCACTGAAT